TATGAAGCGACAGGGCAAAAAAAGATGAATAAAAACAGGTCTAGTCATACTATTATAGCCCCAAATGCTACAATAGGATCCATGAAGTCAACACAAAGGGTTGTATTAATATTTGAACAACGAATTTTGAACTTTTGATCAAACCACTGCTTTGATAGATGGAAAAAACTGTAACAACTAGGAAGAAAAGGACTTTCCTCAACTGTTGGGAACAAAATATGAGCATTTTTGAGTTGATTCAGAACCAGAACCTTTTTTTTCTGCAAATCAAAATAAAAATGAAGAGGCAAATCCGAGAACCAACAAGTTAAATCGGTGTGGCCTCATCTAAATTTGAATCATGTTGATCAAGTTAATGACATTCACACACGACACACCACTTTTGTCCTTCAGAAACCCTGTGAAATCTACTTTCTTCGCAGGTGACCTTGAATGATCTGTATGCCCTTGACCTTCACAAGATGGATGAGTGGAGGGCGCTGGTGACCTCTAACCCCCAGGACCAGGAGTGGCTGGAGGAAAGCTCCAGTGATGATGATGATGATGATGATGACTCACACCTGGGAGCCACAGGAGGAAAGAACACTGGCAGTGCCTCAGGTATCGTTATTCTGACTTCCAGTAAGGCCATGTGGATTTGATTATATAAATGACATCCTTTGGAAACCCCAAAACTGATGCGAGCGTGTGAATAAAAAAAGAGTTTGGCAAAAAAAGAGTTACTTTCATTATGAAATCTAAGTGGTCAAGATGGTAGAACAAATGTCACAGAGAATGGTTTGGCGAATAATCTACTCTTCAAATTCTTTATATTTTCCTCTTTTTCGTTTGATTTTGGCATTCTACAACATTGATATCGTTTTCCAATATTTTTTTTTGCAACTTTTTTTGCAACTGTTTTGTGTATACAATTTACAGTACATGTATATTTCTTTTTTTTGGAAATGGCCAAAAATTCATGCATATAATCAAATCAACATGGCTTAACAACATACTTGTTCCCTGAAAACAATCTATCCAGAAGGCAAAAACAAGATTGATCGATTCATGACATAAGATTGCTTGAAAGGAGGGAGGAGAATGTCTAGGGTTTCAACTTTCAAGTAGTTGCAGTTTGCATGGCAGTCACATGGTGGTGCTCCATGAGTTAGGCAGTTAGGTTCCACTGCATGGAAGGGGTATTCTTTACATATTCATGACTTGCAAAGTTGCTCGGTATTGTCATCATAAACCCTTGCTAGAATTGGGATTCAAGCCGTACCTTATAATTCGGGGTATTTCATTGCATTGTGTTTCATTAATTTGACACAGCAAATGTATTTCTATGGTTTACATTTATTATTGAAGATGTGGACTATGAATAACTATGAAACTGTCCACAAATGTCTTAAACATGGCCTCTAAATTTTATCTGATTTGCAATAATTGAACAAGAGCATAAAAGCTATGTACATTGCACCTTATTATGTTCCCTCAGAGTAAGACATTTTGTGTGCAATAAAATGTTGTGGTCACAGAGTTAGGCAGATCGCATGACATCCACTGTGTTATGCATAGATTCTGATGAAGGAGGCTTGGAAACAAAACAGGACCATCCAAGTGTACTTGCCGGAGAGAATGTAGCAGACTTCTTCAGTAGAACGAAGGACCACTGGATGGACCTAGCCAGGAAAAGTGCCGAGGAGGAGGCTCAGTCATTCTCTGAAAAGGCCCTGAAGAAGATTGCTTTCCAGATGGCCAAGTTTTTCCACGAGGAGCAAGCCAAAACAAGCGAAGATGAGAGCCAGGAAGGAGGACATTGATAGATGGAGACTGTTGCTTTTATTGTGAGAGCTGTTAGATTGGATGGTGATTGGAATCACTGGCACACTATAGCCTGTACTAAATCAGACATCTGATCTGTAGCCCTTCCACTGGTCAGGCCCCTAGTGCAAGAATTATGGTTTCATTTGACCCAGTATTTCCAGGCAAAAGAACACAAAATGAAGACTTGGAGAATCCAATCGGCTTAGGATAAAACGTCTTTATGAGTGTGACTTTTATAATAGCAGTAATGATTTCCCAAGGTGGAAGGAACCACATCCTTGTGATTTACACTGACATGCCTTGATATAAGTTATTGGATCTCATAAATTGAATGTGAAGTGACAAGGGTAGGATGTAACATTGCAATATGTTGCCTCAAATCATGGTTTTAAATCTTTAATTTAAAGCGATGATGACTGGAATACTAGTCTTGCCACCACAAGAATGTGTCCACTTGTTCATACGATATGATGACTTGGTCTCCAAATCTATATCTGGCAAACACTTGGAATTTGGCCTTGACCAGTTTGTGCAATAAATCAAGAACAGGGAACTCAAGTATTATTATCACTGGAGCCTGATTTTGTCTCATTAATTTTATATTACTTACCCTTTCATCTCTCGATTGACATCCAACATCATAAACATATTTTCAGGATTTTCTTCGTATACAGGCTACAGGTCAAGCCCTCTTTGCTCATGTTTTGGGGCTTGGAGGGAATCACCTAGCCTGGTTACCAAACCTATTATAGCTCCCGAGTCCTACATCCTCTCCTCTATTTGCGGAGAGGATGTAGGACTTGGGAGCTACAATAGGTTTTGTAATCAGGCTAGGAATCACCCTTTTATATGAAAAACAGTATGTCGGCAGAACATACTGCACCTGCATGGAACCCATAATGTATTACGCATAGCACTTCGGCAGAACTTCTCATATAAGGTTGTTTTCCCGCATATAAGGTTAGCATCCCGTCTGTAGTTTCCAGATGTTATGTTGGAAAAGATATACATGTACTCTGCAACAGGCAAAATTCTGATGCAATGTTGACCAAACATTTAACGAAAACTGTGAAAAATCAGGGCTTTGTGCATGCACAGTACATTCTGCCGACATGCTATGAAAAACCCTTTACCCATCCCTTTGTTTTAGAGACCAAATTGATGTTTTTACATTGCCTGTGTTTCTTTGTTCAGTATAATCTTTCTTCGTGTGGGTATGTTGGTTGCCAATGGCTACCAGCGCTTTTCTATCAAATGTACATCCTGTGGACAAATTCCATACTTCTTGTACTGTGTACATGTATGTCAGAGATGTAGGCTAGAAGAGATTATCCTGATTTGGATTTCTTTCGCTTTCTGTACTACATTGTAGTTTGTGTGAGAATTACTGATTGCAAATAACCCTATCCATGTATAATAACTATCAAAAACTGCAGGCAAAGAATAACCAGGAGCCAGATCTCATGTAAACTGCACCTGCATAACCTTTATTTACATGGAGACTAGAATTCCATACACTAAAGACATATAAAATATGCCTTTAACTGGAAAATCAGCTTATTGTACTGTATGAAAAGTTCCCATTTGAAAAGATTTTTTGTCTCGACACCTCTACTGGTTTGTAAATCTAGGCTGCTCATCAACATGAAAACACACCACTATGGATACATCTCCTATCTTGGATCATTGATTGAAAAGTCTATAAGGTCAGAAAACATTGCACATGGTAAATACAGAAAACCAGCACTCGAGGGAGGGGAGGGGGACTTGATGCTGTCTCGATTGATTTTG